CGCTGCCCTACCTCGAGCAGGTCGTCGCCGAGACGATGCGCCTGCACGCCGCCGCGCCCTGCTCGCTCGCCCGCGTCGTGCCCCCCGAGGGCGTCTCCCTCGGCGGCTACTACATCCAGGGCGGCACCACCGTCGGCTGCCAGGCCTACACCATGCACCGCGACGCAGACATCTTTCCCGACCCGGACGAGTTTCGGCCCGAGCGCTGGGAGGAGCCTACAAAGGCGATGAAGGAGGCCTTTATGCCTTTTGGCCGTGGTGCGAGAAGTACGTTTTTTTCTTTTTCTTCTTCGGTTTGTTGTCTAGGAGCAACGTCGCTAACAGTTTGTCTGTCCCGCCTGTAGCTTGCGTCGGCTCACATCTCGCCATGATTGAGATTCGTCTTGGCGTCTGCCTCTTCTTCCGCCAGTTCCCCAACGCCACGGTGTCTGTCAAGGAGGGCATGTCAGACGCTGACATGGAGTCCAAGATTTACTTTCTCAACAGCCCGGCTGGCAAGCGCTGCCTCATCGAGGGTTAACTGGAGGGGATGCATTTAATTTCGCAAAGTGTTTTTTATATATATATCCTCATGTTCTTTTACGGTTAGGTTGGGATGTAGACGATGGATGGCAACTTTTGTTTTATTAGCACAGTGCTCACAGGGTTCTTCTTTTTCATACCCATTACTCGCCTGAGGCAGGTACCTATAGATGCATACACATATTATTAGAAACTAAAAAAATCATATAAATTTCATCTCCTCACCGTCTTTGCGCCTCGAGTCGATGCTGTCAGGCTCTTGCCCCTGGTCAATGCAATATCGCACAAGCTCGTTCAAGCGTTCAAGGCATTGAAAACGGCTGCTCGGAACGGGGCGCATTGCCGAATGCCGGCGTAGCTTGAGCCGGCTTTTCTGCCCTAAATAGGCAATTGTTACGTTGAGGCTAGCGAGCAGCGCCAACCCGATTTCTCCGCCCAAAATCACCCTGTTTGTCTCAAGCCTGGAATGGAGGAGTACTAACTGTTTGTATTCCGCATTTCATTTCTGCCCAGCCGTCGAGACCTGCTCTCGCCTCGTCGCTGGGCGTCTTTGGCTATGACGTCAAGAGGTATGCAGTGACGCTGCCGGAAAAGTTTATCGAAATGAAGATGAAGCGGGCTGAAGATGCGTGCGCAGGCTTCAAGTAGTTGACGGTCAGCCAAGGAAGAAATGAAGGAAAGGTAATAAAAAATTGTTTATCGCCAATGGTATCAATTGATCAGCTCTAGCACAATACAAGTACTACCGACAGTGACCATTGTACCAGGTTTACTCCTCCATTTTCGTTGTACACGGTGCTCATGACGGAAAATGGAACCAACTGGTACATACGACCACAGGCAGCATATATATATATATATATAGTCCAGGCCCCCCCCCCCCCCCCCGAGAGCAGTCGTGAGGATCGGGAAGACGGAGCGGCGGAGACCTCTTCCATGTCGGCAGGCCCATGAGGGCAACTCTCTTTCCCTGGAGATTACTTTGGGCCGCAAAAATGTAGAATAATTAGGGGGCTTACACAGGAACTGTTGGCATGGCTCGTTCCCTGCGACCGTCAAGTAAAACGCTGTCGTGGGCATCCGCCAGCGATGACAGCACCATGATGGATGCATCCGGGCTGACCCAGCATATATTGGCCAGACTAGCGCATGTTGTGTAGCCTGACATGCCGTATTGTTGATGATGTGTGTGCCTGTATGCGTCCCAAGCCTCATGGCATGCTAGCCTGCTATCGTCTCGCCGGGGCCCAAGGTGCTTATCTCTTTGCTGTGCTGTGTGCTAGCAGTACCAAAGAGTACTTTGCTGCTCTTTTCCGTCGTCGAGCAGTTAGAAATAAGTGCCGACTTTGGGTGATTCTTATCTGTACATAAATCGTTAAATGAGCCGCTCCCAAAACGTCGCGATGCCCAAGGCAGCCAGGTGCATTCTTCGGTCAGTTATTGTCTTGTTGTCTTGGATCCTTTGCCGAGACCCTCGCGTGACTATCTGCATGCGCCCAAACGGTGCGTCGGCGACTTTATAGGTTCCATGAACTTCCAGGACAGTATTCCTTGAGTGCATATTTCCGCCTACCTATACCTACTGGTCAGCACGAAGCTGCAATTTATGACACCTTGCTGACTCGTGGACCAAGCACAGCCTTCGTCCACCCGACTGGCGGACCAACCCCTTCGCGGGACTGTGATTCATAGCGCGAGCCGAGGTTTTAATAATTTGTATAAATTGGAAGATGACCTATCTAGAGCAGCATTTCTGCCGCCGAAGTTAAGCTAATGACCAGACGATTAGTACTTGAAAACACTGTACGAATGTCGCTTTCTAATATCGTATCTACCGACAATTGCAAGTGAGTAGTAGCAGTACTAAGCACAAGTAATCTAGAGGCAAGATCCTGGAAACAAACCTCTTTCCGCCCGATTGCATGGCAGTGACAGAGAAGTGCAGCATGGTGGTCCATCATTCTAAGGAGTGCTTTATAAAGGTAAGCGTCGGGTTTGCTTCAGATTCGCGCAACAGGGGAAACTCACCATTTGCCAGGGTATCTTGGGAATGGGACGCACTCTCTGACGGAGTGACGGTTGAGGATCCAAGCAAGAAATCTCTCAATGCCCATTCCATAACCACCGTGAGGGGAGGTGCCATACCTGCAAAAACAAAATTAGCACAAAGAACCAGATCAAGTTTGGAAGAGTCAGTAATGGCGCAAAACTCACTTTCTTTGATCTGAATAGAAGGCATACGCCTTCAAATCCCACGCGTTCTCTTTCATGACCTCAACAAGCTGGTCATAGTCGTCCATTCTCATACCCGCTCCAACGACCTCGCCAACTCCTGGAACAAGGCAATCAACACTCTCGGTCACCCTGGGGTCTCCCGCATCTCTCTTCATGTAAAAGGCCTTGATGGGAACAGGGAAATGCGTGAGCATGATAGGAACGCCAATCTCGTCCGTCATCCTTCGCTCGGCAGCTTCTGCAATATCGGTCCCGAAAACATGGGGAACTCCATTCTCATCCATCACACCATGGGCATTGAGCCATTCAATCGCCTCAGCATATCGCATGCGTCGAAAGGGTCGAGCCGGACTCTTGAAATCGGGGTTGAGGGCCATGATGAGCTCTCTGCTCTCGGGATGAGCGAGGAGGATCTCGATGACGCCACAGAGAAGGTCTTCAATGTGGTTAAGAAGGTCATCGAATTCAATAAAGTCGAGTTCGCCTTCGATGTGGGTGTACTCCGACAGATGACGGCGGGTGTGAGAGTTCTCCGCTCGGAACGATGATTGAATGGCGTAGCAATCCCCAAGCACGGGTAGTTGCGCCTCGAGATAAAGCTGAGAGGTTTGCGTCAGGTACGCGCGTTCGCCGTAATACGAGAGACTGAAGAGCGAGCCACCACCCTCCACCTGAGTCTGAACAAAGGACGGCGCCGTCGCCTCTCGCATCTCGTGCTCGTTGTAGTACTGGCGGAAGGCGCTCAGCGCCGAGGAGCGAGCTTTCATGACCATGGCTTCTTCCCTGCGACGAAGAACAAGATGGCGGGCGTCGGGCAGGGTCGATTGGTGTGCGCTCGTGGGTGCTATGTTGGTGAAGGACTCGGGACCGCCAGGAGCCTCGCCGATGATTCGATAATAATCGGCATGGAGCTCGCGATCACCTGGCGCTTTGTTCTTGGCCGGGACAGACTTTAGTTGACCAAAAACCTCAATCGATGTCTGCTTCTGGAACAGCACGGGCGCGACTGCATTGACGGCTCCTTCGAAGAGACACAGCAGCGTGTCGCGAGTGTCGGTCAGGTAAACAAACGTACGGGTTTTGGATACTCTGATGTTGTCAATACGTCCAATCACCTTGACACGCGTGCCCGTGGTCGATTCGGAGCCCAAAGTGACTCCCTCGGGCGCCTTGGCTGATATCTTCAACCGAATGGCCTTGGGAAGGGTGTGATCCTCTTGGATGACGACCTTTCTGGCCTCGACGAGAGTGGCTTGCCGATCTGCCTCCTCCTCATTCTGCTTGGCCATCTTTTTGACGTACTCTGCGTATCGGCTGACAACCTTCTTCATGGCTGATTTGGCAGCCTCTCGCCATTCAACAGCGTCCCCCTGACCATTGGCCTTTACGACGCGTGCGAAATAGACTGGGGAAGGCGTGCTTGACTCGGGAGGAAATGCGATATAGGCGGCAAAGAGAGACTGAAAAGGGCTCTCTTTGGTGCCTGGGGTGGATGCATCGTCGCTCCCGCTGGCATCGTCAATATAAATGATGACTGGGGGGGCAGAAGATGGCTGTCCCGCGATGTCCTTGGGCGGAGAGCCCAGAACCAGGGCAGCAGTATGATCGACTGGAGACATATTGGAGGAGAAGGGTCGGCGGGGGCAGAGAGACTGTTGCAGTTCACTGAGTGTGTGTGGTTTACTGGGTTTTTTCACTGACATTAAGTAGAAAGTGGTGAGTCACGGCAGGAGATTGTTCTGACTCATAATTGAACAAAGAAGTGCGATTCCGTTGGCTCTGCTAACATTGGCTACTGACCGACAGATTAGTAGTTGGGTCGTAACCACTGAACACTGGCAGTATGTTTTTTTTTTCTTCTTTCTGCCATTTTTACTCTTTCTTTTTGAGTACTCTTTTGGACCTGAAGATGTAAGATCGAGGTTCATCGCAATCCGTTGTGATGTGCTGCATGAGCCACAGACCCATGTGGCCTGTTTGAGCGGCCTAGAACGACGTCGAATTTCTATTGGAGCCATTTTGCGCTTTCGTCTGCCGTACCCAGTTGGCTGGGCTCCTAATCCGGAATACAGTGTGACTTGCTGTATGAGAATGGAGAGAGAAGATTGATGTTTTCTCCATCTACATAGGATGGACGATGGGACGGGTTTGGGTTGGCCAACCCAGACGCGACACGTGACGCTTGCTGCTGGAAGTCGGGACATGGGCCAAACAATCTCCCCAGCCTCCAGCCTCCAGCAGCTTCACCTCCATATGTACACGACCTTCGCTCAGGCATCTCGCTGCCACTTTACGTCTCACTCATGGCCACACGCGGAGCTGCATGGAATTTCTGCCTGACCGAGCGCGTTACTGATCCAGTCAACCGTTCCGCTCTACCCTAGTGCGTACGTATGGCATCCTCACGTAAGATGCGTAGTCCACACTTGGCAATGAGCACCTAGCCGAGCTGCAGAATCGGGACGGCAAGGCTCCATGATGAGACACGACAGGTGTGCGTGTGACTAGTCGCCTTATAAAAGGGGACTCAGGGCGCCTCCTCAGCGAAGCCTTGCAGCCATCTTCGCTCTTCCTCTTCCAGCAATCACACATTCGCAAACGATGGCGTCCATCACGAGAACCGCACTTTTGCTCCTCGCCACGGTGAGCGCGCAGGCTGCCTCGGCGCCCGATGGTGGCGCCCGCTCCCCGTCGTGCAAGGCGTACCCGGGCACGCACGGCTGGCCCTCGGCCGATGCCTGGCGCGGCCTCAACACGACGGTGCGCGGCCGGCTGCTGCGACCGACGACACTGCCCGGCGGCGTTTGCCACGCGGGCCAGCCCAACTACGATGTGGCGCGGTGCGCGACCGTCGCGAAGCAGTGGGAGACGTCCGAGTTTCATCTCGCCGACCCCGTCTCCGTCATGTCTAACCAGTTTACCAACTACACGTGCCTGCCGGACCCCGACACGCCGTGCAGCGCCGCGGGCTACCCGGCGTACGTCATCGACGTCACCTCGTCTGCGGATGTCAAGGCCGGTGTGGACTTTGGTACGTTGTGGTGGGAAAAACAAATGCGCTGGTGGGCTCGTGACTGACTGATCCTGTTTGCAAAAGCTCGTCAGAAAAATGTGCGTCTCAATGTCAAGTCGAGCGGCCACGACTTCCTCGGACGCTCCAACGCGCCGGGCACTCTCTCCCTCAGGATGCGCCACCTGAGCAGCATCGAGTACCACCCCGGCCAGTTCAGGCTGGCTTCTGGCCGCACGTTGCAGGGCAACGCTGTTACATTTGGCAGCGCGGCCATCATGTGGGACATTTACGAGGCCCTCGACCAGTACGGCCAGACCGTGGTGGGCGGAGGCTCCAAGACGGTCAGTGCCGGCGGCTACATTACTGGAGGCGGCCACTCCATCTTGTCGCCGCGATATGGGCTTGCGGCCGATCAGGTGATTGAAATGGAAGTGGTCACTGCCGACGGCCGGATCCAAAAGGTCAACCAGGACCAGAACACCGACCTCTTCTGGGCTCTCCGGGGAGTACGCTTGCACCCCGTCAGCTCGCTACTGTTGAATGAAACACCAAACGCTGACCAAGCTTCCAGGGCGGTGGCTCTACTTTTGGCGTCGTGACGAGCTTCACCGTCAAAACCGTTCCCAGCCCCAAGATGACCGTCGCCCAGTTTATCGCCTTTACGGTCCCCGACGCTCCATTCCTGAGCGACCTCCTCGGCGTCGTCGGTGCCCACAGCCCTGCGCTGATGAACGGCGGCATGTCCGGCTACAACATTGTCAACCGCAACTTTTCCAACCCCATGCCAGGCTCTGGCCTCCCTGACTACCTGGCCGGCTTCCAGGGCCGACTCGCCGTCCTCGACGACCCCCAAGCCGACGCCACCATTGCCGCACTCTTCAAGCCCATCAGCGACACCATCAACCAGCGCTGGCCCGGCCAGGCCGGCTTCTTCAGCAGCAACATCAAGTACGCCTCGTTCCTCGAATTCTTCGCCGCCAACGCCGACACCGAAACGGTCGGTGACAACAAGTACCTCGTCTCGCGCCTGCTGAACCAGGAAGCCTTCGAGGATCCCAAGGCCTTGGGGGAGGCTCTCCTGTCGGGGACGGGCCCGTACGGGTTCTCTCCCTTTTTCCTGGTCGGCGGCAGAGGCGTTCACGAGGCCAGGCCGGCGGGCGGCAGCAACGCGGTCAATTCGCACTGGCGCAGTGCCTATGTCCATACTAGTACGTTTTGCCGGGTCCAAGCAACGCCTTTCCAAATGCCAACGTGTTTATAGTTACCGCCACCCAGGGTGTTCCCTTTGACAAGACAGCGACGGACAAGAAGCTCAAAGAGCTGGATGAGGCCTGGGCACCTATCCGCCAACTTACACCCTCCTCGGGGGCCTACCTAAACGAGGTAAGAAGAAGTACGAGCAAAAGAACGACGAAAAACAGCTGAACTCGAATTTAGGCGTCCATCTTCGAACCCGACTTCCACGAGAGCTTCTGGGGCACCAACTACCCCCGTCTCGCGCAGATCAAGAGCAAGGTCGATCCCAATGACGTCTTCTGGTGCACTCCCTGCGTCGGCGACGAGCACTGGCGCCAGCTTGAAAGCGGACAGCTGTGTAGGGTGTAAACATAAGATAATGTAAAGAGGGAGATGAGATGATGTGTTATGCTATAGAAACTATATTCTTTTCATCGTTGACTTTATACTTGTAACCATCCACCTTTTCTGTAAATCTCAAAATATATACGAAACACTTCAGCAGATACACAAAGAACTTCCACACAAACACAGTGTAACGCAAGTTTACACAGTGTGCATTTCTCTATACGGGCGAAGGCGAGTCCCAGCTCGAGCTTCGTGAACTCTTGCCTAGCATCTTCTCATCACTCGCCTCGCTCCACGGCCGGACAGGATTGCCGCGCCATCTGGTGCTTCCCGGAAGATGCTCTCCTCGCATCACCAGCGAAAGGGGGTACACGGTCGTACCCGGCCCGATGACGGTACCAGGGAGCGACGCGGAGAGGGGACCCAGCGTGGCGCCGTTGCCGAGCTGGACCTCATCCAGGCGCATCAGCCGGTCGTGGAACAGGTGCGTCTGCAGCAGGCTGCCCCTGTTGATCGTGGCGCCGTCGCCGACGATGCAGAGATCCGCCTCGGGCAGCAGGTGGCTCTCGATCCAGGTGCCGTGGCCAATCTTGGCCCCGAGAGCGCGGAAGAAGAGGGCCAGCACGGGCGTGCCGTAGAAATAGCGTACCATGAGGGGTACGGCCATGGCCTGCAAGAAGGAATCAGCCAGCTCGTTGCGCCATACAAAGGAGCTCCAGAGCGGATGCGTGCTGCCGGCCTTGACGTTGGGCGTCACGAGCCACTTGGCGCCAATTGTGATGATGGCGGCGACAAAGGCACTGGCGACGAGGAGGCCACCGGCGGCGAGGATGCCGGCAGCAATTCCAAAGCGATACAGGATCCAGAGAGTGCCGAGACTCGCCATGGAGGGGATGAAGCCATTGAGAATCAGAGGAATGGCGCGGCACAGCTCGATTAGAGCACGTGCGAGGACGAGCTTCTTTGGCGGAGCAAAGGTAAGGGCATTGTCAATGTTGGCGTCCACCTTGCGGGGAAGCGAAATAGGTGGCCGGCCCAGCCAGGACGATCCGGCATGCATCTGCTTCTCGCCCAGACTGCCGGGTGCAGAGCCAAGTACGCCAATGAGCGAGTTGTCAGGGACGTTGATGTTTGGGTCGACAATGGCCGAGTTGCCCAGGAACGACTTGTTGCCCACGGTGACAGGGCCCAGATGCATACGCCCGCCGCTGAGCTCAAAGGGCGCAATGAGAACGTCGTCGGCCAGGAAGGCATTGTCGTGGACGGTCAGGAGGGACGGCATGGGAACGACCGTGGACGACTCGACGTTGCGGCCAACCTTGGCACCAAGAAGACGCAGCCACACGGGCGTGAACAGGCTGGCAAAGATGGGGAACACAATCATGCGAATGTCAATCATGAGGTAGTGGATGAGCCAGGCGCAAAAGGCAGCGGTGCTGTTCCACGAGTGCGAGCCAGGCCGGATGGCGAGGTTGGCCAGCCGCACGAGGACGACAATCGCGAGACCGTAGAAGAGGAGGCCTATGACGGTGCCCGGCACCGTCATGATGATGATACCCATGCTGAGATCTCTGAAGTTGGTGTAGTCGTTGACAATGGCGGGCATCAGAAGCCAGATGGGCACAAACATCAAGATGGGCAGAAAGTCGAGCAGCAGCAGCGCAACCGTGTAGCAGACGCCGATGCCGAAGCTCCCCTTTGCCGGCCGGAACGAACCGTCATGGCTGGAGCCCTGGTCGGACGAGGTGGCCGATGGCGGCAGCGGCGACTTGACGACGCCCTGGACGGAGAGCCCCGGCTTGACCGTCGCGTACGCCTCGACAACGGCATCGGGCATGAGCATCGCGCGCGCGCCGACCCGTGCGCCCTCGCCGACCGTCACGCTGCCCACGCGCACCACGTCCCCGTCGATCCAGTACCCGGCGCAGTCTACCTCGGGCTCGACCGCGGCGCCGTCGCCAAAGCTCGCGAGCCCCGTCACCGGCGCCAGCGCGTGCAGCTGCACGTCGCGCCCGACGCGGCAGCCCACCAGCCGGGCGTAGTACCGCGCCCAGTTCGTGCCGGGCACGGCGCCGAGCCGCGCCAACCCGACGACGCGGTCTGCCGCCCACAGCCGCAGGTGCGTGAGCCCGGCCCGGCGGTACGTGCCGGGCCGCACGCCCGCCGTCAGCGCGCGCACCAGCGCGGCCGTCGTCAGCAGCCGCCCCGGCATCGTCATTAGCACCGCCCACAGCACGCCCACCACGGGCCACGACAGGTTGTGCCGCGTCGCCCAAAAGTCGCCCGCGAACATGGCCTGGAAGATGCGCTGCGACGTGAAGAGCGGCACCGCCAGCCGCACGCCCTCGAGCACGAACAGCGCCGCCAGCACCACGCCCTGCACCAGCACCACCCACCGCGGGCTCAGCGCCACGTCGCGCTCGACAATCGACGTCCCCAGGAGGAGCGACTCGACTCGACCCGCCATCGCCCCGAGCGTCGGGTGCTCGTACACGTCGGCGACGGAGAGCGTCGGGCACCGCCGCCGCAGCTGCGACACGAGCTGTGCCGCCGCCAGGCTCGTGCCGCCGAGCTCGAAAAAGTTGGACTCGGCCGAAGTACCGGACGCGCCGAGCACGGCACGCCACTGTGTCGACACCCACCCCATGGTGCCGCTGCTGCTCTCTTCGGGGCCGGCGGCGGACGCGGGGGGTGGCCACGGGAGCGCGTTGCGGTCGACCTTGCCAGAGGTGCGCACCGGGATGCGGTCCACCGTGACGAGCATGGGGATCAGCGTCGGAGGCAGGACGCGCTTGAGAAAACTGCGGTCCTCGGCCGTCGAGGCGGCGCCGCTGCCGTCCCGGCGCACCACGTAGCCGACGAGGACCTGGTTGCCCGTGTCGGTGCGGCGGATGGCGCTGGCGGCGCCCTGCACGCCCGGCAGCGTCATCATGGCGGCGTCAATCTCGCCGAGCTCGATGCGGCGGCCGCCAAGCTTCATCTGCTCGTCGTTGCGGCCAAGGAACACAAGGCCCTCTTTTTCCGCACGCACGAGGTCGCCGCTGCGGTACGCGCGCTCCCCGCCCAGCGCCGGCGACGGCGCAAACTTGGCCCGGTCCTTGTCCGCGTCCAGGTACCGGGCCATGCCGACGCCTCCAATGACGAGCTCGCCGTCCTGGCCCCAGCGCACCGGGAGTCCGTCGGCGCCGACAACGGCGAGGCGCCACCCGGCGAGCGGCAGGCCGATGCGCACAATGGGGGCGCCGGCGGTAAGTGGGGCGCCGCACGACACCACGGTGGCTTCGGTGGGGCCGTACGTGTTCCACACCACGCCGTCGACGGCGCCGGCAAGCCGGTCCGCTAGCTCGGGGGGGCACGCCTCGCCGCCGAGAATCAGCAGCCGCAGGCCACGCAGCGCCTCGGTCGGCCACAGCGCGGCGAGCGTCGGCACCGTGGACACGACGGAGATATGCTGCTCGGTGAGGAAGCCGCCGAGCTCGGCGCCGGCCTTGACGAGGGCGCGCGCGGCGGGCACGAGACACGCGCCGTGGCGCCACGCCAGCCACATCTCCTCGCAGGAGGCGTCAAAGGCGACGGAGAGGCCGGCGAGCACGCGGTCGCCCGGGGCGAGGGGGGTGGCGGGCGGGGGCAGAAAGAGGCGGGACTCGGCGTCGACGAACGCGGCGGCGCTGCGGTGCGTGACGGCGACGCCCTTGGGCTTGCCGGTCGAGCCCGAGGTGAAGATTATCCAGGCGTCATCGTCGGGGGACGGGAGCAGGGCCGCGGTTGGGCGGCTGAGGGGCTTGGTGGTGTCGTGGAGGGTGATGGTGGCGCGGTCGGTGAGGACGGCGCAGACGGCGGCTTCGGAGAAGACGAGGGCGGCGCGCTCGTCGGGGTCGTCGACGTCGACGGGGACGTAGGCGGCGCCGGCGTGCAGGATGGCGAGGATGCCAATGTACAGCTCCATGGTGCCCGAGGTGACGCGGATGCCGACGCGGTCGCCGGGGCCGAGGCCGGCGGCGCGCAGACGGGCGACGAGCGCGGCGACGGCCGCGGTCAGCTCGGCGTACGTCAGGCGGGACGAGCCGTTGTCGAGGGCCAGCGCTTGCGGGTGGGCATGGGCGGTGGCGGTCAGGATGTCGACGAGTGTTTGTGCGTCGGCGGTCTCTTGGTACGGGTACAGGGCCAAGTCGGACGACGACGACGGCGTGGGGGATGAGGGGGCAGAGGAGAGGGAGAGTGTGGATGAGGAGGAGGAGGAGGAGGAGGAGGAAGCGGACAGAGACGTCTGTGGCTCTTTCTGGTCTGCCATCATGTGAGCCAGGTGTATATATGTCTGTAAGCCGAGTGTATGCTCTGTCAGCCAAGTGAATGTCTGTCAAGGGAGGCAATGGCTCTGGAGAATCAAGACGGGTCGATTGCTTCAAGGACGGACCGAGATGATTATATATCCGCGGCCGGGCTCGCGAATTGTCTTGAACTGGTTTCTTCTCAGCCGTTCCGGTGTCGAAGGGGAGTGTTTGTCGTCCTGTCTTACATAGGTGTGAGCTGATCCGGAGAAGGAATATATATATATATAATATTATTTAATTAATATATATAGTCTGTAGTATAGGTTGTAACGAGCTTTTTTAGCGGGCACCAATGCCGTTGGACAATTCCAGGACGAGAGCGCTAAGACGGCGTGGCGTGTAGGTGGAAGGGGTTTGATGATGCCCAGTCCCGGCGAGGAAGCACCGACACCGGTTTGTCATACTATTCCTCCTTCTTGGTCATTTTTTGCTTGATGACCAATGATGCTCGTCTTGCTGACCTCTTTCATCAATTCGTCGTCTTTTCTCTTTCTATTCACTTTATTTACACTCCCTTCCGATCGTGGACTCGCGCTGCGTGGCCAGTCTTTCTGTCATCCGCATGACCAGGTTGCCTGCGCGTGAGAGTTTTGGCATGCCATGGCTTGGCCGACGACGTCTCATTGGTGGCTTCGAGAGCATTGCAAAGACGGTGATGGCTGTCTTGTCCCGCAGACGGGGGTGGCGCCAGAGAAGCTGGTACCTGGCTCTCAGGGCATCGTCCATGCGCCGCCACGTTGAGTTGGATACACGGGATTGGGGGAAGGAAGGGGGGGGGCAATCACCCGTGTAGAGCAGGTCCAGCGGGAGCGACAGGTGAAGAAGGGCAAAGCGAATACTATGAATGCGTCTGACCACATGTTTTTTGCTTGGGGGGCCATGGATGGGTGGTGAGCCGCTCCAG